TTTTGGAAACAAAAAAAAAAAAAAATTTTTTTTTTTCCCCAGGTTTTTCCTCCCCTTTTAAAAATAATATTGGGGGGGGGGGCAAATTCCGGTTGGGCCAATTTTCCCCACCCCCCCGGAAAGGGGGTTTGAAATCCCCCCCCCCCCCCTCCCCCCCGGGCCGCGGTAACCCCCCCCCCCCCCCCCCCCCCCCCCCCCGCCCTTCCTCCCTTTCTCGAATCGCTCTGACACCGAACCAGGTGATCGGTGAGATGGAGAAAGCCCTACAAGAGAGGGGGGTCGGCCCCGATGAGATCGCCGTGCGAGGAAGCTCCCACTTCGGAGGGCACAAGTACGCCGGGGTGCTGATCATCTACCCCCAGGGAGACTGGTGAGTATGTCGAGCCGATGTATCAATATGGGGCCGTATCGTCGACTACGTCTGTGGATGCAGTATGTTTTCTGGCGACGGACGAGTGGGCTTGTGGCCTGGGTGCATGCACGGCGGAATCACGTCGACCCTTTTCAGGCGTTGGCGTCCGCAACAGGCCGTTGTTGAGGCCTTGGCCTCAAGCAAAAAATAGGGTGCCGAGGCAAGCTCAGCATGGAAATGCAGCCCAGTTGAGCCAGGCGGTTTCAACCAAAACCTCGCACAAGGCATCCGGCGAAGGTGTTGGTGTGCGAAAGTCTTCCAAGTCGGTCGCTCGCGCATAAACAGCAGAATGCGATTGCCGCAGCAGCGAGACACATGTTGCGCGTCGGCTTCCGCTCGTTTCTCAATGGAAACACACCCACGGCTTCTATCTTGTCCTGCTTCTTGCTTGATTTGTGCAGGTTCGGGTTGGTTTCCAAGAAAAACGCCCCGGCGATTGTCGACAAGTGCGTCCTAGGCACCGAGGGGATGAAGACCAACTGGAGGGGAAACATGGCCGACCCGGGCACGAAGAAGGAACCGGCCACCAAGCCGGAGCCGGCCACCGCCGCGGCCGCCGCTGCCGGGCCCACGCCCACGCAAGAACCGAAGTCGGCGGAGTCGGCGTCCATCAACGGGGGCGGGCCGACCTCGAAACCCCGGCGCGAAAGCGTTGACGGCGCGTGAAGTAACTGGTGTTTTCATTCACGGAAAGTTGTTTTCTGTGGTTCGGGTATGAATGCTTAACGGAAAAAGATATTTCGAAACACAGCCCCCGCGTGCACTCTTGCGCTCTCCTTTCCGTTCTTGTCATGTATTTTAGGATACGTTTGTTAGAGGAGGAGTTCGTCTTGCACGAATTTGATGACTCGAGGTTTCGCCTCGCGAAACAGTCAACAAGTTGGTGTGAGGTTCAAGTGTTCGGACTTGTTTTTTTTTTCTGCTGAGGCGCATGAGCGCGATTGTAGCTCGTGTGCTGTGGGTGTTATATGTGCACGGGTCGCGCATGGGAGGTAATATAGGTGGGTTGGGCTAAAGTGTGACGATAGCGTTTGGGTACTATCGCGCAGGGAACACTGCGAGGGGCTAGGAAGGTTTATTCAGGTGTGTTGGTTGAGTGTACTTTTGTGCGGCAGCGTGGAGCGGCTTGCGTGTGGGTGATTTCCGATGCTCTTGTCTCGAGGGGAGCAGGGTGCGGAATTTGTAGAATATTCGGTGTGGGGGAGCCACGGGATGAAGCAAACAGGCCCTTAACGGGCTGTTGCGCTTCATAGATTGACGTATTTTGGGGTTTTGCTTCTATTGAGGAAGGACCGTCGAAACGCGACTGTCTGTCGTGTCACGGGGGAGAGGAAAGGGAAGAGTTTCCCGGGTAACTGTTGTCATAGTCTCGGCTGTGACTGGTTTGTAGTGTGCCTGTTGGCCTACATCTTTCTGTTTTCTTTTTAGTGTTCTCGAGTGTAACGCGTTCGTATAACTCGATTTTTTACTGTCTTTTCGCCCACTTTGAATCCTTTTGAATCGCGAACAAGGGCCGTTGATCACAAAACTGTTGCAACAGTATCAAACGCGTACGTTTCATGTAACGGTTCAACGGACGCTTTTTTCATGTTATTGTTGCTTGTGTCAGTGAAGTTTAGTCCGTGTTAGCGTTTCGGCACTCGGCTGTTCTGGGTGAGGGATCGCAAGGGTGGACGCTGCGCTGGTGGCGACTTTGAGGCGTGAGTTTTCGGAGTGGTCTAATAGTGCAGTACTTTGCCGGCGGGGATCGCGTGGCCTGCACGTGTGGGAAATGTACTAGCTGTGCTGTTGCTCAAAGATTTGGTGGGGGATCGGAGTACCAACCGACACACAATTTTTTCTGTGTACGGTTCAGGTGGAGCGGGTTGTTTGTTCTTGATTTACGAAGGGTCGGGGCGTCCATGATGCTTCTTCCATCGTTTAGAGCCGTTGGTGTTCGTAACGTCGTGTGGTGTCGGGGTGGGGATCAGTTTTAAGTCAACGGTGGTGGGGGCTAGTCCGTGGTAGTTGGTTTTGCTTTTGTCAAGTGTTTTTGTTTGGCTCTGCTGCCGTGTATTATGTTGCACGTGTCCGGTGTGTCTGGCGAACAAGTGACGTCAAACTGAGATAAAGCCAGTCGGTGATCGTTTGTCTTTGTTACCATCCAGCCATCGTCGGGGTCCATGCGCACGCACGCGTTTGTTTTACCGGGGGTCACCGGCGTAGGCATGTTGTCTTTTTCGGGAGTAAGCTTGCCTCTGTCGCGTGGTGTTCGGTGCGGTTGGGGCACGTGACGTGTGGCAAACACTGGAACTCTTGCGGCCGAGAGGAGCCGGGGAACATTCAATAGGTTGCCATGTAAAAATACGTGTTCTGCGTTCTACAAACATTTAACAATCTCGACAAGTCAACATGTGTACTCGTGTTTTGTGTTTTTCTTTGGCCTCTTCATTTAGCAGTGCGATTTATGCATTCGACGCGGCTAAGGCTCGCTCGCTCGGTATCTACGGACTCTTTTGCCCACGCCGTTTTCAACACCCGACAATATTTTGTCTCGAGGCCGGGAGGTACGAGCCCCGCATCGTATATCGCATCAAGTTTGCAGCCCCGACGCCCTAAGAAATAAATGGAGTGCAATGCCGGTGGCAGTCGTAGTTTTTTAAGATTTAATTGAAATACCGCGACCGAGTAAAGTAGGTGTAACGAACTGTCACGGGAAGGTGTTTTCTCTTATCGAAGCCCACGGCTCTTGGACAATGCTAGAAAGGCTTACCTGCATGCGAGGTCAGGATCGCAACACGGACATGGTGCTTATTGTCTGTGCCTGGAATCGTGTGATGCCGCACTTTGCATGCCGCCGCGCGGTCTGCACGAAGAAAGCAAGAGAGTCGACCTCTCGGTAAGACCCCCAAATCGCAAACTCTTCGCTGCGCGGAAAATCGCGGTCACGATCGTAACGTACCCAGCTCTTTCGCCACATAGCTTGAATGGCACCAAGAGGACAAACGTATCGATCAACAAGTAGCCGATGGTTACCTGCAGCATCTCGTAGTATCTGATGCTGTATTTTCCTACGTGATGTGGTCAGTCGTTCGTGCTGTCGCATCTCGTTGCTCGTGGGGCAAACGATCTTATATTAGATGGAAATCGCCCCGCCCCCCAGCGAACGCAGGAACACACCCACTACGTCAATTCCTCTGGCTTCTAGCCCTCCGATCAGAAAAGCCTGAGGGGCTAGCCTTCATCAAGCCCTCTGCTTGCTGTAAAGTATTGCGATTTTCATCACAAGAACGTGCCGTAGATGTTGACTTGCCCGGTGCTCATTCGGAGAGCTACCTTCGGGGTCTTTCGCCAAAGAGTAGAGCCAGTGGGCGACGCTGAACTCGCTTAGATACACGTACACGTACAGGGACATACACACACACACAGCGACTCCCCTGATTTAGACTGACACCTTGTCCCCGCATACATACTCTACAGAGCGGCAGGCACACAAACTGCAAGCGCCGGAGAGGCACACACGAGAGTTGCGACGACGTAATCCCGTTACCCCGAGCTCGGCTTTGGAGTAGAAACCACACCACTGGATGCCGCACAGCACGTGCCGTTCCTGAGAGACGTGAATGCTCAGAGCTATCGCACATGGACATGCAGAAGGAAGTCGGCGGCGAACAACGAGGCCACCGGGTCAACACACGAACGCACAACATCCCAACACAAATACACACATGCCATGGTCAAAACACAAAATATTTATACCCCAATCACGCTCTTCGCCGTCCGTGTATTAGCATCGGAAATATCTCGCCAACACCCCAAAGGCCGGCCGCCCCGGCAGTAGTCCAGTTGGTATCCTCAAAACGTTCTAGTGGCCAGGGTCAGGCGTTCGATTCCCGGCGCAAGCGAGTTTTTCTTGCAAAGTGAGTCTTTCTCTCGCTTTCGTTCCTGGCCTGGGTGGCAAGCGCTAGTTCGTGTGTACACAGAGGGAACAGAGTGCTGCACTCTTCTCGCATTAAAAATCGAAGGGAAAGCACCGCAAGAGGGGTGAGTAGGCGGGCTCAGCGAGAGGAACCCTTCTTGTGTGTCCACGGGTTGGAGTAAACTGCGCAAATGCTGCGAGCGCAGACGTGAAGTGAGGACAATAAAAAACAACGCCAAGAGCACTCCGCCCATAAACGAAGCACTGTACCCTGCATACATCCCCCCATCACAACGGTGGGCCATTCATCTCCTGAGCGCCGTGCGACCTCAGGATAAGAATTTCAACAAGAGGGTCGGCGACGGGCAAGGCTCCTATGCATACCAAAAGAGGTTCCAAACCCCCCGAGACCCGCACGCCGGGCCAAGACGGCAGGTCTTCGCCGGGAGGCCAAGCGATCGTCAGCTGCTTCAGAGAGGCCGGCCACTCGAAGCTCTCGTCCGGCAAGGGAAAGTCCCTGCTGAAGGTGAGCTGCCGAAGCGATGCTGGCCACGAGACGTCGCCAATTGCTTGGTCGAAGCACTCCCCGAAGACGATTTTCACGAGCGAGGGAGGCCACGTCACCTTGTCGATTGGCTGGTTGAACTTGTCGCCGAGGTTCAGCTCGGACAGCGATGCCGGCCACGTCACCTTGTCGATGGGCTGATCGAAGTCCCGCCCAACACACAACTCCCGCACCGAAGCGGGCCAGCGGATCCGGTGTATCGGTTGATTGAAGCCGGACCCGATTGTAAGCAGCCTCAGCGACTCCGGCCACGTGACCTCGTCCAACGACTCGTTCCGAACGTGGCCGAATAGCAAAACCTGTAGCGATGCCGGCCAAGAGATCCTGCCCAGGGGCTGGGCGAGTAATCCCCAAACGTACAGCTGCAGCAGCGACCTCGGCCACACGAAGCCCTCCACTGGATGCGTGAAGTCCCCTTGGAACAGCAAAACTTGGAGCGATTCCGGGAACGCTCCCGGGTGTATGGGCTGGCTGAAGGACGGGCCCAGAACAAGGACGCGGAGAAGAGGCGGCCAAGCGAAATTGTCCATCGGCATGTTGAAGCTCGCTCCGAAGACCAGAAACCGCACGGACGCCGGCAGCGACAGGTGCTCCACGGAACGGTTGAAACCCGGGCCTAGGCCCAACAGGGTCAATTTCTCGGGCCATTGAATACCTCGGGGCAGGTCGTCGTCGAAGCCGGGACCCAGAGAAAAGGTCGTCACCTCCGACCACGCATCACCCGTCATGTTCCGCAGAGCCAGGCCCGGCAGCTTCCAGGTCACCGTACGCGCTCGGACCACCGGCACGCGGGTAACGTTGCGCCTCTTCACGCTTCGTGTCTCGCGGGTGGTGGCGGTGCCGCGCCACAAGCGGGTCGGCGTCCCGTGCTGCACGTTCAGCTTCAGCAGGTGCATGCTGCGGCAAGACGCGCAGAGCTCCAACGACGCGAGCTGGAGTTGCATCGTCGACGTGTACCACTCCCCGCCGCTTGCCTGGTTCAGGGCGATGATTAGCGCGTCTAGGCACCGGCTGGGACCTGCGCGAGCCAGAAAACACATACAAAGCAAAAAGTCTTGAGTCGGTTCAGCCGTTCTTTGCGGGCAGTCCAAAACTCAAGCAGCCCCAGCTCGCCTTCAAATCTGGGTGGTACACAGCGTTTCGGCCGCTGCTGGAGCCACAACTCGACCAAGCGATCGTGCAGGGCGCATGACAAAGGTGCTGTCACCATTCGTGTGCGTGCATCGACGCGTGGGATGCAACACAACCTTTTTCGGCGAAAAGAACGAATGGATGCTAGCTTGAAAACGCCGACATGTCAGGGGTCGAGCGGGAGAAAACGGAGGGCTCTTGTATAGTGCTAAGTAATGAAATGTGGTCGCTGCTTCTTGAGCAAACATTCGAACATACACCAGTAATAGTGGAGTGGGCTCATGAGAGCGGCGTCCTCAGGGGGTGATGCAAGATGAGACGATAAAGGCATGTAGCAGGGTTAGCCCACAGCTGGCTGCCGGCTGCCAGTTGTGGCATTTCCCAACCTCACGCAGCTGATGATGTGTTTTGACTCGAAGACTCGAAGAGTGCGACGAACCTCAACGGACCAAAGAGAACAAACTTCTTGCAGGATCTGTATGCATAGGACTCTTCAGTCTTAATCACATGGTTTAATGTGATTACAACAACAACATGGTCTTGGAAAGGGTGGCGTGCGAGCTTGTGAATGTATGCTATGTACTGCTGTACTGTGACGACCAAAATTCGATGGATCGTCAGAGTCAAATGCTGGATGTGAGACTGCAGTCGTCCCGCAAGACAGAAACGCATATATATGCAAAAACCTGATGATCTTGGGGGGCGCCGTCGCATGGCCATTGCGGTTCTCTTTTTTCGTGATGTCTCGCTGTAAAACATCTCATCTCTAACTCTACTTTATGTACACGTTTCTGTCTTTCCGGCTGGAAAGCCCGCACTAGGGATTCGTGGGGAGGGGATTCGGGTAGCAATTTAGATGTTTAAACTCTTCCCTGCTTCATGCTATGCATACAATACACGGGGTCAACATGTCAGTTTTTGAATTGCAGTATATGATGAATACTCCCGTCGCACAACGCCCCACAACCGACCGCAGTGCCTTGGCTGCGACAAACTCACCAGTTTCGACATTCGTGTGCCGCCCGCTCCTTGTACTAACCATGATACAGAAAATCTTATGAAGAAATGGCTCCCTGGCAACCTAGCCGTTGTTGCGTGCGCTGCTGTGCAGTGCTGTGTAAGGTTGGCGGGTGGTGGGTCCGCTCACCGCACCGGGTGCAGCTTTTAGCTGCGGATGAAAGATATTATGGGGGGTAGGGGTTCGATTCTGCGCGCCCCCTCTTTCTTGAGGGTTAGGGCAAGCAATGTTTGGGGCGGCGGGGCTCTCACAAATCCGCTGTCAGCCGGAGCCTGCTGATCTGTGTCTCTCCCGCTGCTGCTTTGACCCCTGATCACGTCATCACGCAACTGTCCTAGAGTTGTTTAGATTGTCCTCGGTGGTACAGCAGCAGTCATGGGCACGGGCGCGAGCAAGGTCGCGTTCAGGGATGTTCTTGCGCAGCTGAAGAACGAGGATATCGCCACGAACGACGCCGCGTTCTGGTCCAAGCTGTGGAAGACGGAGACGAATCCCCATGTAAGCGGGGAATGGCAGACAGGGAGCTATCAGCTGACCCTGTCAATGGTGTGCAGAAAGAGCTATGTAAGGCGAGAAGTATTTTCCCGGTCCTGTAGAAGCATCACTGCTCTGCTCCGGTGTTTGTCACGCACGTATACTCGAAGTAGAAGTTTAAGATTCAAAATCGCGAAGGTACACTTCGTGCACCGCAAGACCGCAGACACAGCACTCTTTTTATTCTCAATAATATCATGGACACTAAAGAGTCTAAGATAGAACAGCAATGAATTCACCGCGTCAGCGGAAGTACCTGTATTTCTACGATTTACCGACGAGCATAGAGCGATATCTCCCCTGTGGGTAGCAGGGTCAGCAAGCAGACAGCTTGCGCACCTTGGCACACCGCTGTGCCGTGCCATCATGGTCTGCAGCACAGCAACAATTTGTTCAAGGCATGTTTTGTCCAACCGACTCCTGCGACAGCCAGGTGTTGTTCCTCGGCCTGCCCTCGTGGCAGCAGCAGTTGCAGTGCACCCAGATTCACGGCTCGCCCATACCCACCACCAGTGCCCTTTGCTCTCCCGCACGAACGCCGACCGTGTGACCGCGTGGAGCAAATGACACTCATACATTTCCGCCGCAAAATCCGTGCGTGACAAACACCGGAGCAGAGCAGTGATGCTTCTACAGGACCGGGAAAATACTTCTCGCCTTACATAGCTCTTTCTGCACACCATTGACAGGGTCAGCTGATAGCTCCCTGTCTGCCATTCCCCGCTTACATGGGGATTCGTCTCCGTCTTCCACAGCTTGGACCAGAACGCGGCGTCGTTCGTGGCGATATCCTCGTTCTTCAGCTGCGCAAGAACATCCCTGAACGCGACCTTGCTCGCGCCCGTGCCCATGACTGCTGCTGTACCACCGAGGACAATCTAAACAACTCTAGGACAGTTGCGTGATGACGTGATCAGGGGTCAAAGCAGCAGCGGGAGAGACACAGATCAGCAGGCTCCGGCTGACAGCGGATTTGTGAGAGCCCGCCTCCTTGTACCAGCGTTCTTGCCATGCACACCACTAAAATACTGCTGGATTTTGCGGCGGAAATGTATGAGTGTCATTTGCTCCACGCGGTCACACGGTCGGCGTTCGTGCGGGAGAGCAAAGGGCACTGGTGGTGGGTATGGGCGAGCCGTGAATCTGGGTGCACTGCAACTGCTGCTGCCACGAGGGCAGGCCGAGGAACAACACCTGGCTGTCGCAGGAGTCGGTTGGACAAAACATGCCTTGAACAAATTGTTGCTGTGCTGCAGACCATGATGGCACGGCACAGCGGTGTGCCAAGGTGCGCAAGCTGTCTGCTTGCTGACCCTGCTACCCACAGGGGAGATATCGCTCTATGCTCGTCGGTAAATCGTAGAAATACAGGTACTTCCGCTGACGCGGTGAATTCATTGCTGTTCTATCTTAGACTCTTTAGTGTCCATGATATTATTGAGAATAAAAAGAGTGCTGTGTCTGCGGTCTTGCGGTGCACGAAGTGTACCTTCGCGATTTTGAATCTTAAACTTCTACTTCGAGTATACAGCAGTATTTTAGTGGTGTGCATGGCAAGAACGCTGGTACAAGGATTTATATTCGTTCAAATGAACAAGCGCGCAGCTCGATCTGGGTGCATGCGGTGGGTCTGATGTGTTACGAAAACGAGTGAGCGTCTCCTCGTCCTCGGTCCAAGTTTCCCCAACACTCTGCGTATGCGTATGAACCTGACTTGGTATCGCGTTATTCGTCCGCAGGGTCAATTGTTGTCAAAAGACGAGCGTTATTACTACGGCAGCAGTCCGCAGAGTGAATGCAAGAAGGACATTCTTTGAAGACGCCTCCTAATCTCGCGTGTGGTATGAGTTAGACCATAGGGTTGAAGGAACATGCATAAAACGACGACGGGAGGCAGGCCGCGCGATGGGCACGGCTTTTCCGGCCCGGCCCTCACCCACGAGCACCCCCTTCCCCTCTTATTCCTGCTTATTCCGTGAAAAAATGCGCTTGTTGTGCAGGATGTTTTCGAAGTAATCTCCCCCACTGCCGTGAGAAAGCTGAAGGTCGCGCGTCCGGGAAACGTTGAGGCCCTCCTGAGGATGGCTGTCTCGCACCTGGAGAAGGTGATGACGTCATGTGTTTGGCGGGGGGGGGGGGCGTACTCTTATGTTTTGCATGCCTTAGCGGTTAGACCATTGACCACGCGTCCTCGAGAGGACGGATCATTGTTTCCACAGGACCGATCACCGATGGCCAATCGTTCCTTCCTACTTTGCCAAAGGTGGCTCAAAAATGTCTTCCCTAGTCTGTCTATCCTAACGATATCCCTTCCCGCCTTTTCAAACCACTTCCTACTCCCCAGTACAGCTACCGTCCTCTCCTCTTTATTCCATGCCTCAAACATCTCCCTGTACGTCCCTTGTATTCTTCCCAGCTCAGTCATGTACACTTCCCTCTCATCTTCGTACCACGGACATTCCGCGACTACATGAACACGGTCTTCGCATTCGAAGCCGCAATCAAATTTGAACTTGTCGTCTTCGTCGTCTACCGTCCTATGTCTTCGTCGACGTTCTCGAAGGCCTATGTCCCCGGTCCTGAATTTGACCTTAAGCTTTGTCCCTGCATCCATTGGTCCATGTAGGTAATCCTTGAACCCTATTCCTTCTTTCAACATTCCGTACACTTCTAGACCCTCCTTATCCTTGGTTTCTTTCCTTAGATTATGTTCTTCTCTCTCGGCACAAGCAACAGATATCTTCTCCTTGAACCCCTGTAGACCCTCCGTTTCCAGCGTTTCATCTTCGTCGATGTCTAACCCCTTCCATACGTCCTCTACAACCTTGCCCATTCCGTGGGTTGTCTACCCCTCTTTTTGTTTGCCCACTTCGCCTCCCATACTATTCTCGGCAACCTCTCCTCTCCCATCCCGCACATGCGATACTGCCATGTCAGTTTGGGGGGGGGGGGCAGAATCGTGTTCCAAGTTTAAGTTTACAATAACGGCATGTTTTGTTGTGTGAACACCGGCATGTTTACCTAGTTGCAGTTTCAGGCGAGCAGAGTTAGTGTCGGGCCTCATCGCAAAACTGTCGCCCCCGGTTCCATTGACTGGTAGGTTTTTGTCGGCATACATCCTTCACGCATGTGCGTCTGTGAGGCGAAACGTTAATTGCGCATGCTGCACTCTTACCCCTTTTGGAATGGGTTTATATGGGAAGCGTTATCCAGCGGACTCCAAGTCCTATCGTACCCCTGTAAGTGTGCTCCTGACAGTCGAGGGGGATATTCGATTTGGGGTTATCAGATTAGGAACATCCGAAGCGTGGTACATACTGTGCTGGCAATACCTGCATACTTGTATGCACCGCCGTACACCGCTTGATGAAAAACCTGGACTTGTCTCACGCGGGGCTTGAGTCGAGACATCGCAGCATTGCCACGGCACAAGCCTGCCGTCCCCCTTCGGCCCTTGCCGGAGCAATTCCTCTTCACTCGAAAACGAGAACAAGACCAACAAATTCCTTTCCTCTTTCTTGTTTCCTTCCAGGTGGTGGACGATCCCGATCCCTTCGTGCTCAAGAGCGCGATGACCGCCGTGAGTGTGCTGACCAGGGTGTTGCCCTTCATACTGGAGGCGTACACCGACCCGGAAACGGGGGAGGTCGATCCCGCTCTGCATTCGATGTTCTGGTCGGCGGAAGAGGAACCGCCGTCGACCGCGGCGACGGCGACTAGGGATGGGGCCGGGGCGGGGGCGGGGACGGGAGAACAGCAGCAGCAGCAGCAGCAGCAGCAACAGCAGCCAGATGCACGGGTGGCGCTGGGGTCGGCGATGGTGTCGGCCACCATGCGGCTGCTGTTCACGCGGCAGCTCACGGTGGACGTGTACTCTTCGTGCGAATCGGTCGACGCAGGTGTGGTCATGCTACCGGTGTTGCTGTTGTTGTAGCGTTGGCAGTCCTTTTCACGCCTGTTCCGCACCGAGTTTTTTTTTAGAAGTTTCCCTGTATACGTGTAAAGCCTAGTCTGTCATTGGGGTTTAATTGTTGGTGGAACCTCCGATCGATCCACCCCCATCACGCCGTCAAGTGTGCGGGATAGTGTCCCTGTGCTCTGTAACGGGGATAGATGCAGCGGCGGAAATAAGTCCAACCCATAAAATACTACCTTTTTCACACTTTTGGTGATGAGTTTACTTACTTGAACCGATCCGAAAGGAGAGCGGTCATCCGTTGGACGTCACATTGGTTTGTAAGGAGCCGAGTTTTTGTTTTTCGCCGTGTCTGAGTGCACGGTGTCCAGTTGCGGTGCCATGGGGGTGGTTTGAGGCAACCGACACATGAGCATGCCCCCCCCGTCCCCCGTCGCCGTCTCCTAACACGTCCGTTCTGGATCAACCGAGCAGATGCGGATAACCCCCTTGAGATCCATGATCCGAGGGCGTTGTGGTCGGGGGGGTTGGACGTGGGTAGGAAAGCAAGGATCCAGCGAAGCCGAGAGCTGGAGGCTAATCGAATCGAGGTGGGTGCGGCAAGGAGAGGGGGGGGGTAGGAGGGTTGGTCCCTCCGCTACTTTCATGTTGTCTATCAATGGCGTTGTCGCGAGGGGCTGCGGGGATGACGGGAAGGTGGTGCAAGCCGTGTGACGTGCGCCTGGCTCTTGGCACTCCGGCTCGCTGTAGTTCCACTCGGTGTGCTCTCGACCGACGCGGCCTGGGGGTGGTGTCGTGCTTGTGTTGGCAGCTTTGCCGTGGCGGTATACAGAGGGAATGTCGTCACACGCCACCCCATCGCCAGGAGCGTTGTCGTTTGGGGATGACTTGAAGTTTGGCAACCATCTGCGTCGATTGTCGTGTCTCCCCGCTGAACGTCGTTCACCAGTCAGCGAGGAGTATCTCCCCGCAGAATGACTGTATCGTTCAGGGGGGGGGGGGGGGTCGCGACGGACTTGGTTGTTGCCAGAATAACATGGGCCTGTGTGAACCCTCGTCGACGCGGCGCGTCCGGCCGAATATCCGAACAGGTGATGCGGCTGCTGCTGGTGCTGATGTGCGAGCCTCTGTTCCAGCGGAACGTGGGCTTCGATCCGACCGCCTCCAGGTGCGTGTGCGCTGGGGGGGGCGGCGGATGGTTGCGTGTCGGATAGGAGTATGCGGCCAGTGCGTCGAAGGACAGGAGCAGAGCTGCTCACCGACTCTCGTGCCTGACAGCACGCTCGAGGTTTTTGGATAGGCGGTGTGAATACAACGGCGAAAACAACAACGCACCATCGCACAGACAGCAGTGAAGCGTGTCTGTACAGCGGTACGGGACCGGATCATCCAATGGAACGAGACTCGCACGGGAAGTTTCTGCCAGCGCCCCACCCGGTCTTGCTCTTGGTCACGATACGGATGATGACAAGTGCGAGAGATACGAAGAGTATTGCAGGCGTGGCCACTCGTCCTACCCGTCCCGCTGCCGCCGTTTTTCCGTGTGCGTCTACGACTCCTGGCAGGGCGCCCTGCAGCCGGGCTCGGTCCGGGATTTCTGTGCGTCGGATTTTTGTTGTCGATGTTGTGGTGCCGTCTGTCTTTTTTGCGATCATGCGGTAGGCGCTCGAGTCCCCGGAGCCAACGTGGACAAGGTCTACGCCAATCGTCTCTCTGCCTCTGTCTGTCTGTCTGTCTGTCTCTCTCTCTGTGTTCCTTCTCTTTCTGTATCCTCTCTCTCCGTCTCTCTTCTCTCGCTCCCTCCCTCCCTTCTCTCTTCGTTAGCGTACCGCGGAACCGGCACCGGTGACATGTACACCGCAGGCATGAACGCAACCCTATACCTACTTCGTGGCATGCCTCCGGACGGCGACCACGTCGCGCAATGCCTCAGCCCCAGCTCCCACCCCCACCCCCGTTCTCGCGACCCGCGTCACACGCGACAGGTTTGCGGAAGAGGTCTGCAAGGCCGACGCCCCGTTCGCCGCGGAGCTGTTCTTCTCCCTCTTGAGCGTCATCGCCACGTACGATCCAGTGGGCTGGGGGGTCCCGTACGCGGGGTCGTTCACCACCGACCTACCCGCCCGCCAACTGGAAATGTCGGCACAGGTATGCACGTGTGCGTGCGCCGAAGATTCGTGTGTACGAGTTCTTGATGCTTGGGTTTCCCTCCCTGGTTTACGACGCCCGTTCCCCTCCGCGGCGAAAACCCCTGTTCCGTTGGGCTCGTATGTTTGTAATTGTTTACCCCTGCTTGCTATCTTCCGTCTCTTTTTTTTTGTCGGTCCATGCGAATTCTGGCGTTCTCTATCCGAGAACCTGCGCTTCAAGCTCTGCAGGAATGTACACGGCTGCTGTTGTCTTTATTTTGGCTTCTCTGCTTTGAGGCGTACTGGTCTCCGGTTGAGCTCTCCGGAAGATGAGTTGTTGTGCTGGTACATGAGTGGTGACAACACCAAAGGGTTGGAGTGGTTTCAAGTGGCGTCTTCGTCAGCCCTCCTTCGTCCCTTTCTCCCTCCTCTACACAGTGCAGTTCAGACTCTTTCGTTGCCTCCTCCAACCCCCCCTCCACGCCGATAAACACTCACGCTTTCGTCTCTCTGTCTTGGTGCGTATTCTCACTCGTGTATATTTCGTTTCCTAAGCCCCCCGCGCCCCCCACTCTTCACGTCTTTTCGCTCTCATCTGTGATGGCCGTTTGCGCCGTTTTCCTTGATCCTTCCCCCGGTGTTGCGTGTGGGTTTGGGTTATTAGTTGTTGATCGTGCTGCTGGACCACGGGAAGCCGCCGTTACCCGTGGTGACCAGCTCAGCGGGGCCGGACGGAGAATCGCCGGTGAGTGCGCAGCATCCGCTCGTTCTTTGCTGTGTTTGTGGTTGTCGCTGTTGTTATGGCTGCTATGGTTGTCGCTGTTGTTATGGCTGCTATGGCTGTTGCTGTTGTTATGGCTGCTATGGCTGTTGCTGTTGTTATGGCTGCTATGGCTGTTGCTGTTGTTATGGCTGCTATGGCTGTTGCTGTTGTTATGGCTGCTATGGCTGTTGCTGTTGTTATGGCTGCTATGGCTGCTGCGGCTGCTGCTGCTGCTGCTGCAGTTGTTTCTTGTTGGTGGAGGTGGTAGTTCGGCCGCTGTTCTTGTGTCAACTCCTTCGTCTTGCGGTACGTAGAAGTAGGAGTATATGCAGTATGTGGTGCGGGACGGGTCCCTGTCGGTTCCCGTGTCGCACGCGAGGTACTACTGTTGTCTGCACCTTGATAATCTCTCAGGCCCTCAGCAACAGTTGAAGTTATTTCTTTCCTGGAGGACTTTTCGTGTCCCATCGCCAGACCTGGTGTCCTGCGTCCCCGAACACCCTTGTGCCAAGAAATTTTCTGCATTGCATGTTTTCCTGCTGCCCCTTTTTCCCTATGATAAACCGCTCACGTAGTGTCTAGTTGGTGGGGTGCGCCTTCGACATGTCGGGTCAACCGGTTTTTCAACCTTGTAGCCAAGAATGCGGCATCACCAGCAAGTGCCAGCGGCTGCCAAGCCCCTCCATCTCGTGACCGCTCGCGTGCATGTGCTCGCCTCTTCTTTCTTGTTGTGAGTCTGTCTGCTGTTGCCGCCTTCCTTTTTCATAGCACGACTTTGTCCTTGTCACCGATCGATGTCGTTTTTTGTTGAACGGCGACCTGTCTTGCTCGGAAGGACCAGCAGACGGCGGTAAGGGAAGACCCTCCCACCCCCGGCGACGTGGGCTACAACGTCTTCCGCAACCTGGTGCTGCACGGCCTTAAGGACGAGGAGGACTTCGAGCTCGTCTACACCGGTCTGTCGCGGCTGCTCAACACCCTGCACCGCTCGCGGAACACCTACATGCCCGGGGCGGCCACGGAGGTACGATCTGAATTTCCGTAGGAAACGATACGGATAACCGGCGGCGCGCTGCGCACCAACAACCCGCCGTTTTTGTCGCGATGCTCTGGTATGTTTTTTTTGTTGCGCCCCCCCCCGAGTTTATGTGGGATCGCAGAAAGGTTTGTGTTTTCCTCTTATCACGTCTCGGAGCTTGATCGATTATCTTGTTGCGAGTAGAGATGTGGGCACCCGGTTCTTTGGAGGGGATTTCCCGTGCGTTTTGTTATTGATTGCGCTGCTGCAATGAAGAGTTCACCGCACGTGCCACCAATAGTCAGTAGGTATAGTGTCGATGTAACATAGTGGAGGTTCGCCCCTACTGCACATTTAATGCTGTTGTTTTTTGAGTCTGGAAACGAACAAGTGCACAACACACAAGGTCAACAGCTGGACCGAACTTCGATCGTGCCTTGGTTTGTCTACGTAGGTTTACTGCTACCAGGAGGTGCTGGTGCTGCTGTGGAAGCTGCTAGAGGAGAACCCGGTCTTCATGCAGTACGTTCTCAAGAACTGCGACATCAATGAGGTGTGCGTTATTCTAGCCTATCTATTGTGGTTGATCGAGTTCAGTTCGCTGGACGACGACGGACGCCTTGCCTTCCCGGTAGCCCCGTCTCCGTTTTTTCGAGAACATGTTACCGCAGGTTTTGTCAGGGTACGGCACCCCCCCCGTGCGACGACTCCCTCGGCAACACGAAGACGAAAGAATCCCGTGTAAGTATTCCTCGTCCTTTTTTTCCATCTCGTTTGTCCACCCTCGCCGTGGCCCCCCTTTTCTGCGCGGGCCCACGCGCCGCCGAAAATTTTGACGGCGACGCCGGCCCGCCTCGACCGCACGCACGCACGCGGCGCGGTAGATCTTGGTGCCGGTGTGCTACCTCCTGGTAGAGAACCGTAAGGACGTCTCCAAGGGGGGTCTGATCCACATCTGCACCTTCGTGCTGCTCAAGCTTTCCGGCGAGAGGGCCTTCGGCGTGGCCATCAACAAGGCCTGCAGCGTGCGGCTGCCGACGGACCTGCCCCTGTTCTACGGTGAGCGATGTTATGAGCCCGTGAGCTGCGATGGTAGAGGACGGAAGTAGGCGTCACGGCCGTGGGCCGAAAATATTCAGTGCTTGTGAGTGTGTGCTTGGTAGCATCGAAATTTGCGCTCTCCTCAGGCTTGGCGCGCGCGACGAGAATTATTGGCCCGCGCTTTGCGCGTGCGGCGAGAATTAAAAACTCGCAATGTAGGTTAATATACTGTTTTCGTCGTTGACAAGGCGGGAGCCGCCAATCAAGCCAAGTATCCAGCGCTGAGCCATCTTGTCCCATGTGGCCATCGCGTATGCAGAGCTCCGAATGAAACGCCGAGAGAAGCAGGCCCAGCGAGGGCACGCTCCAACCCAACCGAGATGCGCGATCGACGGCATACGGCAACGAAAACAAGCAGCGAAATGAGCACGCCCCCCTCCCGTTTCTGCGTGCACGTTGAAAATCAAATAACCAGGCTCGCACCTGGACCTCCTGATCCTGACCGTGCACAAGCTCCTGGTTGCCGGGTCGGACAGGCTGAGCACCCTCTACCACTGCTTCCTGACGGTGCTCTGCAACGTCTCTCCGTATGCCAAGGGCCTGAGCCTGATCGCGTCCGTGAAGCTGCTCAGCCTCTTCGAGCTCTTCACTAGTCCCGGGTTAGTGTCTCCAAAAACGCCGTGATTTTACCGGGGGGGGGGGGTAGGCTGTTCTGTCCTATTAGTGGCACGACGCTCGTGTTTCCTTTTTGTTGTTGTTGTGATGGCGGGCTACGATTTATTGGCGGACCTCTGTAAAGCAGCAACAGCGGAAGAGGGTTTGGCCAGTAGCGAGCGGGTGCGTTCGAGAGGCGAAAGGGGGAGGGGGGGGGGGGGGGGGGGGGGGCCCGGGGGAAAAAAAACCTCAG